TCTCTCTCTCTCTCTCTCTCTCTCTCTCTCTCTCTCTCTTTCTGTGTCTATGAGTTTGAGGCCAGCCTGGTCTACAGAGTGAGTTCCAGGACAGCCAAAACTACACAAAGAAACCCTGTCTCAAAAACAAACAAACAAAAGACTACTCTTGAGATGCAGGGAGCCACACCAGCTTGCAGTCTAGGACTTGGGACAACAAGTCCAATTTTAGTCTGGGCCAGCCAGAAGCCAAGCTCAGCAATGAAAAATAAGTTCTAGACAGCCGTAGAAAATGATGTTTTTCAAAAAGAATTTTCTAGAATGCTTAACCGATGTGCCATCAAATTTGAAAGACAAGACAGCGGGTTTTCATCATATTTATAAAAAGAGCCATCTACTCTGCTTGTGATGGTTTCATCCATTTGGAATATGGTGTAAGTACATGTAATGAGAGTGTCCCATGAGGCTGCGTCATCATTTGGTCTTTAAATGTCATGGACATTTCAGCAAAATTTGCATGTGTGCTTTTTTTTTTTCTTTTTTTTTTTTTCATTTCCTAAGAAAAGATGTTGAAATAAAGTGATGGGCTGGAGGCTTATTTATTCAAAACTTACTCACTCTACAAATATTTATTGATGGCATGCCAGATGCAATCGAAGAGCGTGTTTCTCATCATAGGAATTAAGTAACTACATTTGGGGTGTCTAGATGGGGTCTCACCATGTTTTCCAGGCTGGCCCCAAACTCCTGGGCTCCAGCAAGTCTCCCCCTTCAGCCTGCAGAGTAGCTGCTTCTGCCGGTGTGTGTGCAGCCAAGCTTAGCTGAATTAAGTGCATCTGGGCTAACAGACTCGAGGCAGTTCAAGGCATATCTCAACATAGTTAATATCCAAAATATTAATTTGTTCCGGGCCCTCCCCGCTTCCGTGTGTGTGTGTGTGTGTGTGTGTGTGTGTGTGTGTGTAAGCGTGTACTCATGTAAGTCAACGGGCAACTTGGTGTTCTCTCCTTCTACCATGCATGTAGAGCCTGGGGATCAAACTTGGGTCCTCAAACTTGGTGGCTGGTACCTTTACTTCCTAAGCCATATCATCAACCCATTTTAGATATTTTTTTTGGGGGGGGGGTCAATAAAAGCATCATCTGAAGTATTCTAAAATATCCATCTTAAGCAATTATATCAGAATCAAGTCTGAGTCATCAATGTTTGGGCATATGGAGAATAATATAAATATGCTTGAAAATGAAGATGAGAGAATAGAAGCCCAGGCCGATCAGGATCCTCTGCCCAAGTCTTTGAAATGCTGGGGTTACAGATGGGTACCACAGTGCCTGGCTTAAAGTCACGGTTGATCGTAGAGGAGGGAGATGATGGAGAATAATGTGACAGGACGAATCAGATCCAGGGGGCTAGAGAACCCTTCAAATGTAGAGAGCAGCCCTATGGGTTACCGACCCAAAGGCTGTTACTCTTCCCTGTAGATAGAACTCGGATGCCCAATTTTTCAGCATTCAGTGCAACTTGGGGTTCCCTTGTGAACTGGTTTCTGGTCAAGGAGAAATAAAAAATTCTTTTTTAAAAAAGTCTTAAAAAAAAAGATTTATTTATTTATTATGTATCCGGAAGAGGGTGCCAGATCTCATTACAGATGGTTGTGAGCCACCATGTGGGTGCTGGGAGTTGAACTCGGGACCTCTGGAAGAGCAATCGGTGCTCTTAACCTCTGAGCCATCTCTCCAGCCCTGAAATAAGGAATTCTGTGAGAGGCTTCTAGAAAAGACTTTCCTATATTGTCAACAGAGAATGTACTTTCGTTTCCTAAGCCATCAAATGAAATTGTATGCTGCAAGCTACAAGAAAATGTATAGAATCCAGCTACTATCACAACAGCTGCTACTTGAAAAGATCAAAGACTTTTGGGAAGATCAAGCCGTGGCTTAAGAAGTCTTGGTGATATTTTAGCTTTTGTATACATATTAGCCGATTCTTGCAAAGATTTCCTTGTAAGGTATGTATGCTTCCAAGAACTCCTAACAGTGTATTTTATCTGAAATACCTATCAAGCAGCCAAGGCCAAATGATCAGCTGAATTAAGGTAAATTAAGCTCAGACTCTCCTTTCTTATGCAGCCTTAGCAGTATTTATACTAACATTATGGACTCCTGACATTTGCGTAACCACCTCTAGGAATGTAGTTTGAGCACATAAATTCCCTTTTTCTGATATATTGACTGATTTTAGCTCTTAGTTGACCTCCTCCTTTACCACTCCCCTTTTGGGTTGTAAAAGAAAGCCTGACGGTCACTGAGGAAAACTCTTGTCTGCCTTTATGACCCTGTAAGAAGTCAAGCCTGGTGACCTTGTTTTATCTAGAGCACTGCTATTGCATGGGTATAGAACTGTAAACCTCAGAGACTGAGGGAGGATTTCAACTGGAGAACTAGAAGAATGAGATGGAAGATGAGGAAGAGCCAGATGGGGAAGAAGGAGATGAGAAAGACCAAGAAGGGGCAGAACTATGATGAGAGAGTTAAGATAGAACTTCGAGGGGACGGCAGATAAAGGTAGAGAGAAATCAGGCAAGAAAGGAGCTGGGCATGAGAACAGAACTGAAGCTGTGTAGACAGGATTTTATCCCAGAGGAATAAAGTAGACAGACTAAGAGCTCCGTGTACTTAGATTCTTTTCCCGAAAATAATTCTCGCCATCCGTAGCTTCTCTCCTGGGCCCCTGGGAAGAAGATTATTAAGGCTAGACCATAATAATATTTGAGAATTGTAGCAATCAGACTCAGAATTGTAGCAACCTTAGGACCAGGAGAGAGGGATCATGTGGTCCTGAGGGGAGCCACACATTCAAAGGAGCAGCATGAGAAGAAACAATGGAGTAAGGCAGGCACCATACTGCTCAGCATGTGAGACATTTTAACGTTTCCTTCGAAGGGCCCTAGTGTGCACAGTCTGAATCTAAAATGTCTCCTACAGGCTCGTGTTTTGAGCGAGCACTGTTCCCAGCTGGTGGCACTATTTTGGAGCCTGTGGACAGTTGAAGAGGTAGGACCCAGTCCGCGGTCACTCTGGGGGATGAGGGGAGGGGGAAGGGAGGGGGCGAGTCCTTGGGAACATATTATCACTGCCTACTTCCTGTCTCACTCTGCTTTCTGAAGGGCTGTGATGTGGAGAGTCTGCACTGAGTGCCACCACCACTGTGAACGGAGTCACCCGGCCATACCTTCCCCAAGAAGATGGACCCTAACTAATGCTTGACACAAACAAACAAAAACCAGCTTTCTTTCCTTGGCTTGTTTCCACTAGGTATTTTGTGACAATAAGAACAAAGTAGCCAGGCTGGAGAGATGGCTCAGAGGTTAAGAGCACCAACTGCTCTTCCAGAGGTCCTGAGTTCAATTCCCAGCAACCACATGGTGGCTCACAACCATCTGTAATGAGATCTGGTGCCCTCTTCTGGCCGGCAGGCATACATGTAGGCAGAACATTGTATACATAATAAATAAATAAATCTTTAAAAAAAAAAAAAAAAAGAACAAAGTAGCCGATGCATACATTTTGTGTTGTTACAGCTGAAACTCTTCAATGACCCCTGACTTAGTAAGCACATACAACCTCCTATGACCTGCTCGCTTACTAATCAGCCCCTCTTTTTTCTTCTCTAAACTCATCTCTTACCAACTTTCCTCTCTCTCTCTCTCTCTCTCTCTCTCTCTCTCTCTCTCTCTGGTGGTTTCAGTTCACCAGCCAAAAAGCCTTTCAGTATCTGCTCCTGGTTGGTACTGTCTTTGTTCCTCTGTTAACTGGCCACGTCTGCCCATCCATCCTTCTGTACTCAATGCAACATCACTTCGTCTGGAAGGTGCTGAGGTCCCCATCCCAGTGTGTGTGTGTGTGTGTGTGTGTGTGTTTTCTGAGACAGAGTTTCTCTGTGTAGTTTTGATGCCTGTCCTGGATCTCGCGCTGTAGACCAGGCTGGCCTTGAACTCACAGAGATCTGCCTGGCTCTGCCTCCCAAATGCTGTGATTAAAGACGTGTGCCACCGCCACCCAGCTATTAGCTGTATTTTTGAACTCTCAAGAATTTTGAACTTCTGCAATAACTGCACACATTTCTTCATGTGCCTGTTTAATAACCTGTCTGGCATAGGGAGGGTCAGCACCTCCCTTGTTACCGACTGTTTTCTAAGGACTCGCTACAGTGATTAATAGCCATCTGTGTGACATAAGAGTGAATCACCAATTAATGAGAACAGAATAATCTCAAGGAAGCAAGGTATGGTAGTGCATATCTGCAATAGTGGCACTTGGGCGGATTGTAAGTGTGTGGCCAGTCTGAGTTAAGACATCAAGACTATCTCAAAAATTTTCAACATTAAGAAAACACGTATGCAATTATTATGAGTATTCACACAGATTTTATTTTTTTAATTTAATTTTTGGAGACAGAACCTCTCTATATAGCCTTGGCTGTCCTGGAACTTGCTGTATGGAACAGGCTTGGCTACAAACTCACAGACACCCTCCTGCTTCTGCCTCCCAAGTGCTGAGATTGAAGGCGTGTGCCGCCATGCCCAGCTTTATTTATTTATTATTTTATGTATATGTGCTTTGCCTACATACATATGCCTGTTGTGGGATATTACTTTAACAATGTAAAGATGTGTTACATTTGTTTATACTGCATTTGTTTAACGGCGTGAAGATGTGTTGCTTTGCATGCCTAAGGCACCTGATTGGTCTAATAAAAAGCTGAGCGGCCAATAGCTAGGCAGGAGAGGGATAGGCGGAGTTGGCAGGCAGAGAGAATAAATAGGAGGAATCTAGGCTCGAGAAGAAAGAAGAGGAGAAGAGGAGAGAACAAGGGAGAAACAGAGGGAGACGCCGGGACCAGCCAGACATACAGTAGGACACACAGAATGAAAGGTAAAAAGCTCTGAGCCAAGATGTAGATGAAGAGAAACAGGCTAAGTTCTAAGAGCCAGTGGGATGAGCATAAGTCTGAGCATTCATAACTACTAACAAGGCTCTGTGTCTTTATCTGGGAGCTGGTTGGTGGCCCAGAAGAAAGCCGGCTACATATGTCTGTGCACCATCTGCATGCAGTAGCTGAAGAGGCCAAAAGGGGGCGTCATGTCCCCTAGAACTGGAATTACAGGTGCTATGAGAAGATTTGCCAAGCCTGTTCCATACAGCAAGTTCCAGGACAGCCAAGGCTATATAGAGAGGTTCTGTCTCCAAAAATTAAATTAAAAAAAATAAAATGTCTCAAATTGTATGTTTTGGTGCTTGAGGACCTAGCTTGGAGTGTAAAGTGCTTGCCTAGTGTGCACACAGTCCTCAGTTTCATCCTCAGAGATGTATAAAACCAGGCATGGTAGTGGATGCTGTAGTCCTAGCGCTCAGGAGGTGTGAGCAGGAGGGTCACAAGTTCAAGGTCATTTTAGGGATGGGGATAGTGCTTGCCTGGCATCCACAAAGTTCTGCTGTGGATCCTTAAGACTTCTTCTTGTTCTTGTTCTTCTTGTTGTTGTTCTTGTTCTTCTTCTTGTTGTTCTTGTTCTTGTTGTTCTTCTTCTTGTTGTTCTTCTTCTTGTTCTTCTTGTTCTTGTTCTTCTTGTTCTT